GACGGTATGTTTTGATTTATGCAGTGATAACAAAGAGATATCCAAAATCCTATACTCTTATACATCTAATTGTTATTTCTTATCTCTTGTATTAACTGGCCTGGCATTTGATATCGAGGTAATCCAAACTGAAAGTAATCAGGTCACAGTACTTTTATATTGTGATACTTAGATTGTGTTACTGATAAAAACATTTAACATAACTAATCATTGTAAATGAATACATTACGTCCATGTCCCAACCCTGAGTATAATATAATGAATAAACTGTTTCTCTTGTGTTTCTCCTCTTGCAGAGTGTCTCTTCATCTTCCCCTGCCAGTGGAACTACAGGCCAGATCACTGTATGTATGGCAGTAATTGCAAAGGGGCCGAAAAGGAGGGCGTGTCTATTCTCCATGGCAACCGTGGAGTCTATCACGACGACAAGCAGCCGGCGTTCAAAGTAGTCTATGATGCAATATGTGATGTAAGTGTCATGTAATATAATCAGGGTTTATTGAAACAATATGAGTGTCACAGCACAACAAGCTCTGTTAAAACTGCACATCGTTCTTTTTAGACCAAGGGAAAAAACTGAATAAAAACAAGGACTACCATCATAGATATAAAAAAATGTGTTAATACCTCATTTACATATTACTGTAGTCCCACAAGAGAAGCTGTTTAACATCAGCAGATCTGGTGTGATAACAGGGAATCTGACACCTAGTTACAAAGAGACTGTGAAAGGAAATATGTAGGGAATTAACAAGACATTTCAATGCAGAAGTACCTATCAAATATATTTAATAGCTCCAGGGTTTGAAATAATGGGGCGGTATGAGCATTACAGCGAGAGTTAGTGACATCCCTAACATTACTTCTTGTAATATAAGATGGAATAGAGACTGATTTTATATGCGCCGTAAGATATGAAAGGATACATCATAGAGTCATTTAGATCCAAACCTTTTTCCAATTACAAGATATGTCTTACTCTCCTAAAATACCAATATATATTTCCTTTGCAACTTCATAAGAGATGTGTTTTTTATCAGTGAGCCAATCATCAAAGATAATACCTAAGATCTTATCAAGAGAATCATTTTCATTACATTTAATTTTTAGGGTTTTATTTTGCTGCTTGAAGATCATATAACTCTTATTAACATGACGGGATCATTTATTGCATTTTAACCAGATATTCATCCTCCTATCCATAACATTCTTAATACAGGTTTCCGCCAATGCTCATCTTTCGCTATAAGAAAAATATTTATATAAAATATAGACATAGAGTCCAAGATGGTTGGTTATTTAATACTGTAACATTAATGGCTAGTGTCTGTGAAACATCTCAGAGCAGATATGTTACAGCAAACACAAACAGGTGTAACTTATCACATTAACGATGGCTGATTTAAGAGGGTGTGTCAGTTCCAGGGTCCTGGTGTTATCCATCATTAATGCAATTAGTGACACCTGCGCTATTCCAGCACATACAAAGATCTGCTGTAAGGAGGTCTACTGATGCTGTGCATTGGAAATCATATAATGTATCGTGATAGTATATTATTTTTAAGTAAAAGCTCAACTTATTATATAATTGGCTTTGATTCATTAGAGATTTACATTACATTTCATTAGGCAGACCCTTTCATCCTAAGCTACTGACAATAGTAGCTGTAAAACAACGAATATACAAACAGCAAGAATCCTGTATGTACATTAGCTTTCGGTGCTTGTGCATTGGATTGGAATAAGGTAAACATTTAATTGAAGACATCAGGATGCAAACAAAGAAAAGTCGTTCCTTTTTTAGTAAATTCTCCCTTGCTTGCCTTAAACAATCTGGGTCAGTTTTTAAATTTAGAATTTGTTTTCTCCTGCAGTAGAGTCAGCTCCCCCCTGCATTGCTGAGATAAGCCTCTTAAAGACGAGCTCAGTCATAATTAATGATTAATGCAAAACGCCAGCACCCCCACCCGACCCCTGCTGCTGACGGGATGCGTAAATACCATTTAGTCTGTGATACGTTCCATTAAAAAAACTATCAAACTGAAATAGCTCATGGATGAGAACTGACACAGGACGATGTTCTCTGTTCCTGCAGTTTCCCTTCGAGGACAACATGTTCCAGTCGCTGTTCTACCCCATCCAGACCAAGTTCCTGGACACGGTCAACACCCTGTGTGGTCGCATTCCTCAAGTCTTCCTCAAGCAGATAGAGAAGACCATGAGGAAGGCGTTTGACGAGAAAGTGGTCCGACACGTCAGACACAACTGATGGAGAAACTGTTTTATTCTGACAACACAGAGGACCAGGTTGCTTCGTCTCTTAGCACGTATGTGTTCCTGGAAAGTTATTGTGAACATAATGAAATCATGGTATGGGTAATAATAGGCCTATGTATACGGAGAAGCATACAGTGCTGGTCAGTGGTGCCGTAGAATAGGTTTGCCTTATTGCCGTCTTAATACATCTCAGTTATGTACGATGAAATGTATGTTGAAAAGTGAACAAAAAAAGACTGCACAAAATCTTTTCTTTTTTAAATCAAGAATTATAAGCTCTTCATCTTGAGTGTAGGCTAAAAGCGAAATGTATGACGTACTTGTTTATCTACCTTCTTTTTTATTTCCTCATTGACATACACTACACAGAGCTGACGTTGGACTTTGGAAAGCTTTACTACTTGAAGTAGTAGATTCATAAACCACTCCTCTCAAATCATGTGAATGTTTTACCAGCAAATAACTTGAAATGTGAGCAAGTGTGAATGGGAAGAGTTCATGGTCTGTTCTGCGGCTGCCAAATGCCACTGACAGTATTAAATACAGCACAAAAAAGAGGAAATACAGACTTTTATATAACAAACCGAATGTTAAAATGCACTTTCAGAATGATATTATTAGGACTGGATGGTTGTGTGTTTGCAACATGTCCACATTAGATGCTACACTGTCCGGAGTTAATCAAAACCAAAAGTGCTAGCATTTAAAAATAGTGACAGCTGATTATGTGCCATATAAATATTCATGTCTGCCATGTTTACTATTACAAGAAATGAGTGGTATAGGTGAGTGAGTGTTTGAGAGGGTGTCATAGTTTTTAATATGATGTATGGTCTGTTGTGAACACATGGATTTTAGCAGCATTACTTTCAATGTGGTGTAATGATCTAAATATATCATTTAAACTGGAAACTGAAAATGGCTGTACAGTCAACATGTGTTTCTAAATAAATCAATGCAATGTACTGAGTCTCATTTTACATATACCATTTATGGGGATTGAAATACACCAAAGCAATGCATTCTTGTCACAAATGTATTATTATAATGCAAGGAGGTAAGTCCAATTTTAAAGGTGATTCTAGATAACAATACAGAAGATCTGTCTTGAAATAAGTTTCTTAATTTGTATTGTTTGGTTTAAATAATAACATATTCTTGTTATGATGATTACTTCATAAAAAGCATCACACAAATGTATGCATGTAGTTTTGATGAATATCAACAAATGTTTATGAAACTAGGCTAGGAAACTAAACTTCCTGCTGTATGTGTTTCACTAATGGCTCTTATAAGTTAAATATTTTTTATGTTTGAGGAAAATGATAGTCACCCAGTTATACGCCTAAGGGATTTTAAATAATTGCAGTCATTGTGTTGTTCTTGAGTCCATGCCAACAGCATTGTGGACAGCATATTAGCAAAACCAATAATTAGTGGTGTCATGTATTGAAGTACATTTACTCAAGTACTGTAATTAAGTAGGATTTCCGAGGTGCTTGTACTTTACTCAAGTATTTCCATTTTATGCTACTTAATACTTTTACTCCACTTCATTTTGGCAGCCAATATTGTATTTTTTACTTTACTACATTATTAAGCAAAATGAGTTACTTGTTACTTTACATATTCAGATTATAAAATAGTACCAAAAATGTACTAAAACATAAACTATGATATGAAATGATCGGTTAAGATATCGAGCATCAGTATAAAGTAATTCAATTAGCTCCACCTTTACTAGCTGTGATGAACACATTGATTGAGATTATTTATATTCCAGTTAATTAATATATGATGCTAAAATGGGACATTACGCACAATAAGTAATTTTACTTTTGGTATGTTAAAGGTGGGGTAGGTAAGTTTGAGAAACCGGCTCGAGATACACTTTTTGTTATATTCCATGGAATGCTCTTAACATCCCGATAGCAATGAATATCTTAAGTGCTTTGACAAAAAATCCATAACAAAATGTAATCTGTGGAAGCCGTAGTACTGTAAAAAGCACGACCAATCATTTTAGCCGGCCCGGCTAAAATAACTGGATGGCCTACCTGCCTGTCAGCCTTCCATCGGGGCACAAACTTATCTCGTGCCCTCATTGGTCATGTGCGCGTTTGTGTGTGAACCCTATGGTGTGAACGCAGCATTAAGGAAGTGGGAGATTTTTTCCGGCTGTGTATTTTCAAATTCTAGCACACTCGAGCTGGTTTCTCCAAAATTACCTACCCCACCTTTAAGTATATTTTGATGCCAATACTTTTGTACTTTTACTTAGCTAGGTAACATTTTGTATGCAGGACTTTTACTTGTAACCAAGTATTTTTACACTGCAGTAGCCTATAGGCCTACATAATATACTTAAGTCAAATATCTGAGTATTTCTTCCACCTTGCCAATAGACTTAAGAGCAAGCTCTTAGTAATAGTCAAGTATATTGGTTCTAATATTTAAAAAAAATGGTGTTTAATTAATGTAATCAGGTAGGCAGATAATAGAGGGAGCACAGTAGTGAACAGATGTGTCAGAGATATAACATGTATAGTCATATATGTCTTTTTTGATGTAAGCCTACTTGTATTCATGTCTCAGCTATAATTACATTTATTTAAATCAATTATTCCACATAGATACTTCCTCCATGAGGCTCTGTTGCTCTTCCCAGCACAGTTGCTTGCCTGTTGCCGAACAGGCAGTGACCTCACGGCGCCATATTAAAATGCTCCCTCCTCTTTGCCTGTGAGATCGTAGCTTAGCAGCAGCAGCTAGCCGCCAGTCTGCTTTTTACATCCACTGACAGAGGGCAACGCCGTGATGGAGATCGACTCGCTTCAAGAGGCGCTCCGAGGTCACTTCACTTTATTTCGATAGGTTTTGTGCTTACTGAGACAACGCTGTATATGTCTGCTTCCGCTAAACGTTTTATAATAGAAAACAAACGGAGTGTTGCTCAAAGGCTAATGCCGCTAGCTAGTTGCTAATGCTAACAAGCTGTTACACGGAAATGGTTAGCTGTCTGTACCAATGTATTAGCCAAGGGGACAAAAATAACTAAATTATGATGCGTTACGTTATCCTTAGTTCTTCGTGTATATGTATTTACTGTCATTATTTGATTAAACATGCTGACACATATTTTGAGTGAAATAACTACCAAGTGCCACCGGCTAATGGTGGACTACTGTTTGCCGGTTGTAGCTAACTAAACATGCTAACTAGTGTGCTAAACTTCAAGCTAGCAAGCTAACAAGCTAGACGTATAACACCCATTAGCCCGCTACGTTATGTAAATAGCTAACGTTAATTGGACAATTTGATCGTCTTCAGCCAGGGTGTCGCCTCCTAATAAGCTTAATTGTGTTGGTTAAATGTAAAACATCCTAGCCTTTTAGCCGAGTTATCGAACATGTAGCTAGGTTAAATCAGAGCCTGTCTATCTCTGTTCAGGCTAGTTTTTAAAGAAATGTTGGGTTGTTTTCGTTGTTCCCACGTAATGTAAGTTTGTTTTCTCTCCTCAGATTTCGATAAGAAAGCAAAGACGGAGGAATGTCCTCTTCTGGAGCAGTTTCTATGTCATATTGCCAAGACAGGAGAGACATTGTAAGTGAACATAGCAGGCCTGATAAATTCTCCCCACACTAACGTTACTACTGCTACTACACCACACACACACACATACACACAAATGAACACATGACATACGCAGACCAGAGGTGCACTCGGACCTTGTTCTTGAGTAGAAGTAATAGAGTGTAGGAATACTCTGTTAAAAGTACAAGTCCAATCAAAATGTTACTCGAGTCAAAGTACAAAAGTATGGGCTTCAAAATAAACGTAAAGTACCGACAGTAAAAGTACTCTTTATGCATATTTCAATGATTATGTAATATGTTTAGATTCTACTTATCCATGCATTCATATATTATCAAAGCTGGTAGAGGTGGAGCTAATTTTAGTCACTTTGTATACTGCAGGGTACCTTGTGGATTTACTCCAGATGTAACTAAGTCTTATTGAAGTGTTGTTTATATTTCACATCATTAATAAAACATCTGCAAAGTAACTAAAGGTATTATATACATTTAGTGGTGTAAAAATACATGAGTTACCTCAGAATTGTAGTTGAGTAGAAGTACAACATTTGCAAAAAGAATAATCTTAGTTTGTTGTGCATTTTATTTGTTATGTCAACTGTATTTTCATGCCTCTTCTTAATTAATGTCCCCATAGCCAATGCGACATCCATACCAGCATAGAAAATAGGATCTTGATGTGAACAGCAGTGAGCGACACAAGGCATTGTGGGACTTTAAGACATGGATTTGAAGCTACGGTAGTGACAAAATGACAGGCTTCGGCTGGGAGTCAAGAGGGATGGGAAATACGGTTTTAAATTAAAGAAAATGACACCTATTGATTAAAAATGCTTATGTTGTCCTTAATTAGTTCCTTTTTCCTTTCTATGTTATACGTTACAATAGGTGAACTGGAAGGTAAATGAAGACCGCTAGCTAACATTAGCCCTTTAGCTTTCACAGATTTGGCTTTAACATCATATTAACTTCTAATACCTGTTTTCTCTATAACATTAGGACACCGCTAAAAAGTTGTGACGGCACCGGTTGGTGTTGTTATGAGTGCTGTTAGCATGGTAGCTAACTGACCACCCTAATCTGTGATGACATATCTGTTTGGCTGTCTATTCAAACATGCTGTCAGTGTGCCAACCTAGCAATTTTAGCATTTAACAGCAGTGCACTCACTGCACTTGTAAGATAGTGTTTTATAACTGTTTTTTTTCTCTGTTGCAAACATGTGCTAGAGTTTGAAAGTGAATGTAAACAAGGGATGACCTGAAACACGGGGACAACTTCTCAAAATGCAGTGGGCCATGCCTTGTTTCTCCTACTATATATGTTTTTGTCCAACATGGCCAGTTTTTCGATCTATTATAATGTGTCATACCAAATGTGTTGAGTCTTTTTTTTTGCTTACCTTTTAACTCCAGGGTGCAATGGCCTCAATTCAAGAACTACTTCCTGTTTAAATTGGAGAATGTGCTGGATGACTTCAGATCCTCGGCGCCTGAGCAAAGAGGTCCTGCAAATCCAAATGTCGAGTCAATTCCATTCGAAGATATGAAGGAGAGAATCCTGAAAATTGTCAAGGGATACGATGGGTATGTGAACATCTTTAGTAGTAGATTTTGATGACAGTAATAGTGTCTGGTTGACTGTAGGGAGATGTTTTGTTCCCCATGACCAACACATGCAATCTCTTGCTGTCCTCTAGGATTGCTGTCTTCAAATCAAGTTTTATTTTTCGTCTTTCAGGTTTATATTGAGGTTTTTGAATGAAGCTTTGAATGTTTGTTGTCCTGCTTTATCAAATTTATAATTAAAATGACATTTCTATTGGAGCCAAAACAATTGTATTTTAAAAATAGGCAATTTATAAAAGGTTGCCCGGCAAAACAATTATGATAATCAATTGATAACCTTGAGTTATTCTTTTAATTCAAAAAAGTTATAAGTAAAAAAAAAAAAAAAAAATGTTTGGCTGGTCAAAACAAAACATTTAAAGAAGGCTATGGAAAATTGTTGATCAAAGTAACCGACATAATGGCATGATATGTTAAATGGTTCTACAGGAGGGATTTTTCTGGAAAAATATAGTATGCGGGCAATCCTGTAGCGCTGATTTTGTGTATAAGATACATTCTCGCGAGAACATGACGCCCATACACAAGATGGCGCCGCGGACGTAAACAACAATGCGTCGTCGGAGCTCAATTTGATACGATTTATATAGTTATTATACAGTTCCTAGCAAACAAATGTTGTTTTCTGGCATCACATTAAAACGTTACTGGACAAATCTGCATTTTTGTATGAGGGCGCACGTCGAAAGTAAGACTGTCCCCCGGTTTAGACAAAACCCTGTACAGAATCCTAAACACACCTTTTAGTTTTTAAACTGTCAATATAATCACAGACAGTTATTATTGTAGTCTACAATCATATGTTTCCCTTTTTGATATGTAGTTGATGTCTACAACTACATCTACAGCTATCACTGAGAGAAAAATAATAATAATAGATTTATTTTGTAAGCGCTTTTTCAGGGGGGCTCAAAGTCTTGTTTTTACAGAGACATTTCTCAGTGATAGTATGAACATAAAAGGATGAAACAGAAAGTTAGGCACACCCTGAAAAAAACCCTAAATGACTAATTTCTTTATCATTTGTATTGAACCTGTTGCTTTTTCTTAAATTGTAGAATTCCATTTACGATCCAGCGCTTGTGCGAGCTGCTCACAGAACCCAAGAGGAACTACACAGGAACAGATAAGTTTCTCCGGGGAGTGGAGAAGGTAAGTCCCAAGCTGCTCTTCCCCTCAAGTTGTTTACCAGCTTTCAGTGTTTTAAAAAACCTAATTTTGGCCTTTCTTCTTCCCCTATAGAATGTAATGGTGGTAAGCTGTGTCCACCCAACCTCAGAGTAAGTGTCTTCTCCAAATGTAACACTTTTTTAGGAATAAACTAAATAAGTCAAAACTTTTTGTTATGTGTTCCACTGAATTAAGAGTTTAGTTTTTTCTCAATTTGCTTGTACAGGAAAAATGGATGCAGCGCTGTCAGCAGAATGAATGGAGTGATGCTTCCTGGGAACACATCTGCTTTTACAGAGAGGTTTGGGACGGATTTAGTAATTGATCCTTAAATAAACAGAAATCTGAGATATTACTTTTGTTTATTTTTGTATTCCTTTTTGCATGTTTTCCCTAGGAAAGTGAACGGTCCTGGAACTCCCCGACCGCTGAACCGACCAAAGTTGTCTCTGGCCAACTCACTATCAGCTAACGGCCTGCCAGACAGCACAGACAACGAAGACGACAAAGACTCCAGGTATTTAAGAACCTACACCAGCTCAAATCTAATCACCCTGTTCCACATATGTGACCCGCTCTATCGAAATCCGTCGGAAGTCGCAACGGCTAATTTAAAAAATAAACGTGGATTTGCGTAAAAAAATAGTTTTTCGGGGTCCGGGTGTTTTGTTTGATTTTAAATAAACAAAGTCTTGGCTTTCAGAATATGAAACTTTTATTTCCAAAATCACACGATAAATACATTTTTGAAGCTTGTAAAGTGAAGATGACCGCTCTCACTCGCACTCTGCTGTTCCGCAGCGCTGCTTCCCCTCCCTCCGGCTGAAATTACGAATGTAAGGCGTATAGTAATCATAGATAACACGGCAGGGTCCGTTACAGTTTGTTTTCATCTGATTTCAAATAAACAAAGTCTTGGCTTTCAGAATATTAAACTTGTTTCGGCAAATTCAGATGATAACGTTGAAGCTTGTAACGGCATAATTACAAGCGGAGAACGGAGTAACTTGACGTCACAGCAGGCATAACAACAGCCGGTGTTTCTCGTGAGTGTTTTCCCCGGGAAACAAACACAATACACACAACGCAGAAATACACACACACACTCGCGAGCTTCCCCCAGACCAGTAATCCAAACCAAAATATCTTCCCTCCGTACTACTTTGATAATTTGCTCCGCTAATAATCAATCAGATCGATGGATTCCAGAGAAGTGATGACTCGGTGACAGTCATTATATAATGTGACATATTTTGCTTAATATTTGGAGTACACGGGGTTCGTACGGGTGCTGGAAATCCTTGAAAATGCATGACATTTTATGAGGTGTTTTCAAGGTTTGAAAAGTGCTTGAATTTTGGGAATGGTGCTTGAATTTGGGATAAAGTGCTTGAAATTGTAAATGCTTTACTTCGCTTTTTAGATTAAAAGAAAATAAAGAAGTCGGAGCGCGCTTCATTGCTTCGCTTTTACATAAAACAGCTCCGCTCCGGCCTGATGACAAGTACCTCCGGATTTGAGCTGTGAACGAGTACTTTTATCTGGTCAATTTTTGGCAGTAAGCTTCTAGCATTTACATGTAGAAAACCTAAAGCTTTACGAGAGCAGAAGTCAGGGAAACTCAGATCATTGTGACAAAGATTGACATCAGGGCACAGGTCAGAACTAGGGCTACATACAATAGAAGGTCCAGGATGAACATGCACATTGCCCGATATCATCAGTAGTAATACAATCAGAGCACGGCCAAGAGCTAGCAGTGAGTCACAATGCCTAGTTTGTTTTGTGCGCACATTGACAGTGGAATGTAACGTAATCATCTTGTGTAGAGACCTCATAATCACACATGATAGTAGTGGCGGTTCGCATTTGTTATGCGCAGGAGGGGGTAGGGAGGCGGCGAATAACGCAAGGAAAAAGCAGTACAGTTTGGGATTAGCCATTGTTAGTCCAGTGAAGGTAGGAAGCAGCACTCACCCAGAGGTCAACAGTCCTTGGTTGTCCAAGTCCTTGGTTGTTTATAGCATAAAGAACATCTGATTTAATGTGAGGTAGGGAAATAATCATTTGAGTATAAGTATGTGTATATAAATATGTAATTTACAACAGCTGTAAAATGCTTGAAAATGCACCTTGAAAATGCTTGAAAAGTGCTTGAATTTGACTTTGGAAAAGGTGTAAGAACCCTGAGTAGTACAACAATCCTGATATCATTAGACAGCTAGGACTCTCCTCTTTCCAACAGTGTATACAACTCAAAATGTGTCTTCGGGTCAATGCGACTGATTTCGATGGAGCAGGTCACATGTAGCTTCTGGAAGAATCACATGTGTATCGCCCATTTCTCGCTCTTTCAGTGAGGTGTCAGCGTCGGGGTCCCTGCCGAGCTCGGTGAAGAACAAACACCCCGAAGAAGCGGAGGAGGACATGGAGGCCGAGCAACAGGAAGTGAAAAGACTTAAGTTCAGCAAGGACGACGAGGAAGAGGAAGATGATGAGGACGAAGAGGATGAGCACGAGGCGGACACACTGAGGCCTTTACACGCCACCTGCCAATCGAAAGAGGCAGAAGCCATGGTGCAGGAGGAAGACGAAGAGGAGAAGGCCGGCTACAGGAAGGACAAGGAGGCTTCCAGCAGTGCTGCTCCTCCAGAGGACCAAGGTAGGCTGGTTTTCTTTTGACAAGTGTTTTTTACTTTATTATTTGCCCCTTTTGTTTGTTTGTTTGTTTACCTGTTCACCATGTAAAGCGGCCTTGGGTCCCTTGAAAGGCGCTATACAAATGTCATCTACTATTATTATTATTATTATTATTATTAATAGTTGGTTTGTGTTTGTTTTCTTAGCTACCAAGGGGAAAATTAGCGTATTTGCAGTTTTTGATTTACACGTTAAAAAAAGCTTAATTCTAGGGATGCTCCGATCGCCAATTTTGGGGCCGATCGAGTGGGCGGGGCCTATGGGGATCTTCCATTTAAAGTGATGTTTAAAACTCAGTTAATGGGGCTCATTCACTGGCGCTTCCACAAACAACAACCAACATAATTATTACATTCAAATGAAGTACATTATTCAAGTTTACATTCACTTTGGATAATAACACGGGAGAAACGAGCGGAAGCGCTCTCTCTCTCTCCTCCTCTCTCTCTCTCTCCTGACAGCCTGTCAGTATCTCATGCAGCTCACTGATCCAGTAATGAGTGACCCGACAGTGAAGATTAAATATATTTATAACTAGTTTAGCTTGTTCCAGAGGTAGATAAAATAGCTAAGTGTGTTAGGTCTAACTCTTAGTGTGTGTTTTGCTCCGCTCACCGGTCCGTCACAGCGGGTGGAGCTGCAGGATTTCTGCTTCACACACTTTGCATACCGCTATTTTACTTTTCGGACACCTTAAAATACTGCCAGACTGGTGAAGCCATTTTGGCGAGCTTGTTTTGCCGCGCACAGAGAAAATGGTCATGTATGTGATTGGCTCTCCTGATTGGCCTTTATAGAGAGCACCGATCGATCGTCCGAGAGTGAATATCGGCCGATAACGATCGGCGGGCGATCGGTCGGAGCATCCCTACTTAATTCAATCACACGGGTATGGAAGACTGGACTGATAATGCAATTGCTGTTTTTTCTTTTGTCTGCGTATGACACTAATTTTCCAGTTATTAGATGCAGCTGTGTTCAACAACACTATTTTCTCCACCCAATTAGGGCTGCACAATTAATATGAATGTTATTCAAATCACCATATGGACCAGTGCGATATCCAAATGGCAAGTAAGAATTTAAAAATAAGATATTTAAAGATAAAAAGTCAAGTAAATACAAATTATGGTTTATTACAGATGGACAAAGAAAGTCTCTGCAGCTCTCATACTTAAAGGGGACCTATCATGCAAAATGCACTTTTTGATGTCTTTTATACATAACTATGTGTCCCCGGTGTGTCAGGGAACTCACGCAGCGTCAGAAAATAAAACTCTCTTTTCCTCCGTACCCAAATCTCTAAAAACGGGGCTACAATGGAGCTGATCCAGATTTGCGTCCGATATGACGTAATATCGGAAATGTGGACCCACGGCCCTATCGGAAACAATGCCCGCCTGTTTTGGACGTAATATGGTCGGTGTTTCCATTAGCATCGCTAACACTCAGAGCTAACCTGTACTGAAGAGCATGTGTGTGAAGAAGCAGGAAATAAAAAGGAACTCACCTTGTGGTATAACCGGCAAGAGAGAAAGCCTTTGAGCTCCATACTGTTTCAGAAATAATCCTTGATAATCCATGATATGGCGTTTCATCACGGCAGTATTTAGTTTAGACGGTAGCTGCCGGGTCCCGCATGAGCTCAGCCCCCTCCTTTTTTATTTTTTATCATTTTTATTTTTAAAGCTTTATACCCCAAATCAGCACTTTTGAAACAGGAAGTGAAATAGAGGGATATGAGGCATGGCTAGAATGGGTGATCCGTTTGGTATTTTGAGCAAAACACTTCATAGACATGTTTTTTTAATATATTTTTATATATCTGAGACCTATGCTATTGCCTAAAAATAGCATGATAGGTGACCTTTAAACTGTGTCTCTCTAAGCTCCCGTTCAGGACAGGCTCTTCCCAACCACAGCTTTAAGCTTACATTTCCTAAAGCTCAGTTCATTTCTCTATCAAAACGAGCACAATTTGAGCTGCGACTGGTTATTCTTCTATTGAAGGACAATGTTCAAAAGAACAGCAAAGAGGTTCAATATGCACAAAGTCTTTCTCATAGTCTATGCAGGAGGAGATGGCTCGATAAGGCATGACTTGCAATCCTATTAACCTGTTTCACACCTTCCCCCCGGTACCGGGCGGATAAACGCGTCATTTGCAGGAAACAACGTCTAAGGAATCTTAATATTGAATAAAACTATGAATGTGTTATATCCATGTAACGGGAAGAAACTCAGCTAACTGATCTTTTTAATTTTTTTTTTCAAAAAAAACCCACAATGCTAGCACTCAGCCTCTGAATTAGCCTCGATTGAAAAAACGGGACCTACAAAGGCACTTAAACTCACTCATAACTCCCTTATTACTTATCCTAGATGCACAACCAAACACTCTTTTTTGGTGTCCTGGAGACACTGAATCTACCGGTGCCCACCTCAACACTCAGTGATAAACATTCGCGACGCTATCAACGAAAGCGTACATCACCACATGTGGAGCTAAGAAGCTAAACATGTAAATATGGCTTATCTTGGTCAAAAGTGGTCTTCAATGGCATTAAAACAATAAAAAAACGATGCTGCAGTTAATCCATAGGTTCATCCTATGTGTCTGTGCCTTCTTTGAAATTATTTCTGATAATCCATAAGCAATACAACTGCGTTTTAGTTTCCAAACTCCAGAAGGAGACATTCCTCCAGTTTAGTTTCGCTTTCCACACGCGAAGCGGCCACATTTTTTCTTTACAATGTATGTGTATGTGAGTCTCCTCCTTCGATTCTATTGGCTCTAACGGTCACAAGGGTATGTCAACCAACCAGATCGAGCAAGGGGGGCCAGAGATAGGTCAAATCCACCCAAATGACCCCAGATGGCCCAGTTTTTGGCTAAATCTCTCTAAAAAGGTCAAATTTCACTTGTTTTGCATCAATCTTGATACAGGGTACTTATTATATGTTGTACTTTGGATTCCTAAAGCTTTTAGTCTACTAACCCATCATCCAAGGGTAGTTTTCACTATCTGTAAAAAATAATTTTTGGACGGACACTATAATTTACAGTTTTTTACTATGTAAAATCTGAATTTTCTTTAAAATAAAAAACATTTATATTGATTCTGACACTTCTACATCCAACTCACAGGTTTATCATTACTTTGAGAAAAAAGATTATTAATTTAACCCTTTTAAAAGGGAAGATATGGTCATTTGTTCTGGGAATGTCATTTTCGAGCCTGAGACCTGAAAAACAGGCTCAGAGTGGAACAGGTTAAACATGAGATTGTATAAAAAGTTAACCAGTTTGTGGAAAAAATATATTCAGGTGGACTTAATTTTCATTAAAAAACTAACGTTGGCCATCTTCAAACTAAGATGTTATATGTTAAGTGGCTTATTGTTATCAGTCATATCTCTGTCATATAATCGACTTAAAATACCTATAATGTAAATGTATAAAGCTTCTTGCAGTAGTGAAAGGAAACATTGAGTCCATTTTGTAAGCTTTCGTGAGTAAATGTAAAAAGCTCTGTGTAAATGAAACTTTTATCGAATACTTTACCCCCCCCCCGAAAAAAAGAAATATTAGTATATTAATTACACTACCCCGTATAACGTCTGTTCCTCTCAAAATATCACTTTACAATCTCTCGCATCTCAACAGGGCAAGTCTGGTTTACAAAGTAACTTTGAGGGGATGATGTGTCTCTTTTGAAGAGTGTTTGGTTCTTGAAGTTTGCTGGCCGACAAGAAAACCACTCATCCATCCTCAATCAACTGTCAAAGATTTGGGTAATTTTAGTCTGAAGACCATGCTGTCTAAATATGCGTTTGAACGTGTCTTTGTTCCTCTCGCAAGCCTCCACTGTGTACAAAGAAAAAAACATTTAAAAAAAAAAGCTCTGATGGCTTTTAAGTAAATGAGGGCAAAATTCACCAATGCCAACAATATTGTCAAAATATCCCTTTTAAAATCTTCCGCATCTCAACGGTATAAGTCACAAATTATTATTTTTAGGGGATGATGTGTTCTTTTTGAAGAGTGTTTGGTTCTCGAAGTTTACTGGCTGACAAGAAAACCGCTCATCCATCTGTCAATCATATAACTGTCTGGAACAGCGGTTCCCAACCTTTTTCAACTCAGGGCCCACTTAAGAATCTAAAAATGTTTTTCGCGGCCCACATTCAACCATAAACAATATGGAGGCTAAATATTGATTGGTCAATTCAGAACATGTGACACGTTGTTAATCCAGTAGTACAGACCGCTGTCCAGGACTGTAATGACCGTTGCTAAGGAGGATCACAGGTTGGGAACCACTGGTCTAGAAAGATTAGTCTGAAGACCATGTTGTCTGAATATCATTTGAACGTGTCTCCCCACAGAACCCAGCAGCAGCACGCAGGCCGAGGCGTGTTCGGGCTCCGAGGCGGAGCAGGCGGAGAGGGAGGTGCCGTGCGGCTCCCAGGAGGAGGGCAACGACATGGATCAGACGGAGCAGCAGGCGCCGGTCCTGGAGGGTCCGGAGAGCAGCAGGGACAGCGAGGAGAGCAGCAGCGACCCGGTGAGCAGCAGCAGCAGCGGGAGCAGCAGCAGCTGCAGCATAGAGGAGGGGGCGGACGCAGCCAGAGAAGACGTAGCCCCCTCCAGCAGTACCTCCGAACCCCCTACAGAGGGCGCCATGGAAAGTGCCACCTTGAACACTGGGACCACAGAGGAGCCCATGGAGCAGGACTAAACTCAACCCCCCCCCCCCCCAAATCCCCCTTCTCTACCTGCAGCCATGTGTGACCATAAACCAGCTTGTCCTTGATTCCAGCTTGACTGTCACTGGGAGCGAGGAGAACTGCACCTCGTACACAAGACAAAACGCCTCGTCCCGCTTTCTTTTTTTGGACAATCCTCCGAAAATACCTGGCATTGATGTTGGCATACAAATACAATTTTTTTCATTTGAAGTTTTATTTCTTAACTGGAATATTTTATTGATCTGTTTTTAAGTTGTCGTTAAAAAGGGGTTGGTTTCCGCAGCCTTGAGATTCCTGTTTCTTTGTGTTCAGAAGTGGTCTGGTTTTTTTTCTAATACCACACACAGTTATTTGGACATTGACGGGATTTGTAGTCGACGTTTTGTACCCTTTAAGCCCAGTGTACCACTACCAGGGTCCGAACAGCCATACCAGCCCCTGGTTATTTATAAAAACGTTACAAGCTACCGCCACCATTTCTGTTCCTGACTGAAGCTCATGTAAAAATGTGATTTGAAGGTAAACCCCCACCGTCACTGTATATTGTTACTCCACCATGTTCCACCAAGGATGTTGACAACATGCATTGTTTTAAAAATGATTTCTACATCCTTATAAGATGGATTTTTTTTTTTTTTTTTCATTGTGTCCATATATTATTATTTTTTGCAATGATACACTACCAATCCAACTAACAATACAATGGCCATGCTACAAGGCATCTTCTGTAAAATTATATATTTTGGATGCATAAAAACCCACCATAATTTATAAAAATCATTTCAATTAGTTCATTTTCGGAGTACGTTTTTGTTTCGTCTGCCAGTTGTAGTTTACGAAAACCAGCTGTAAGTACAACGACGCTTTCTTTGTATCGTGATGTCACCATGTTGTTTGACCGGCCGATATCCAGAGCAGTTTCTGGTTCCAGTTCTACACCTGTTTTCTGCAGCTGTACTTTTTGATATTTAGAATTTTAAATTTCTGTAAAGTAGATTTTTGTAGATTGTAATACGGTATGTGTTCACTGCCTTTGTGAAACCATATATAATTGTATAATTTCTGTGTATACTCTGAATGCTTTTGCTTTCAGTGCGGTATTCAGAAAACAGCAATAAATGTTAACATTTTTATGCGTGGTGGTCTCGCTTACTTTCACACACGGCATCTTTTAGTTCTGTGTAATGTGTTCGTTAAGGTGCGGGATGGTAAATGTTGTTTAGGGTTATCTTTTTGATTTTTCTCTACCACTATTTGGCAAATATATTGAACATAAGAGTCCATAATTATCAGCAAGTGTTTCGTCGTATGCATTCTGCTTTTTTCGAAGCATATCTCGTCTAAATTCACTTCTTTAGTGCAGTGTGAATTTTGATGAGGTGTCCCCTGAAGCTGAATAATTAAAACATAGTTTAAGACTGGAAATAGGAGCTTAAGGGCTGCTATGCTTTATTCCAATAAAAACCTCACATGAATGGGCAATTTTCTTATATAGTGACAGTTATTTGATAACATTTGTTTGTATTGACTCTTTGTCCTTGCTCCTAAATTCCCAGAAATCAAACCATAATTATATAATCGTACTAGTTTGCTATCTGTAGCTGGTATCTTTCCCATGTTCTTTAACTTTCTTGGAAATGTAGCAATGGTTACAAATTGCACAATGGTTTACCTGCTGAAGCGAAGCTCACAGAGAGGTTACTTCATAAAGACTGAGATATGTTTACTCAATATAAATATAAGAAAAACACATACTTTTATACATTCATATAATCGCACAGGGCTGCTCTTCCCTCACAGGACGTGACTACAGCCCCTGTTAACTAGCTAACTAGCAACGTTAGCGTTAATAATGGCAATACTGTTCAATTAGCCAAATATAAAATTGACAATGGCTTCAAAACAAGGAAACTTGAAAAAGAGATCTATGATCTCAATGGGACCAATCTGGTTAAATAAAGGTTTGAAATGAAATGAAAACAGCTGTATAGTGGTATGTTTATTTAATAGTTAAATAAACCCATATGAGAAGTTTTGGTACTCCGTAAGTACAGAAGCTCACACATTGTGACACAGCAATAGTTTCCAGCATTAAAACTACACTATAAGTTAGTGTGTCATGTATTATGGAAATGAGACACTTCAAAAATGCTACTGTACTTGTTAAGTGCAATTCAAGTGCAAAACGGTCTGATTAGTTGTCTTAAAGGGGACCTATCATGCAAAATGCACTTTTGTACGTCTTTTATACATGAATATGTGTCCCCGGTGTTCCAGGGAACTCACCAAGTGTCAGAAAACACAACCCTCTCTATTTTCCTCCATACCCAAATCTCTAAAAAAGGGGCTGCAACGGATCTGATCAAAACTGATCCAGATTTGAACACTGTCCTGACGTCAGGACGGTGGCGCTACGGCTATTGGGCCAACTCCACCAATCAGGAGGAGACAGCCACGGCCATTGCCGTTCGAAAGCGCTGGAGACGCTGTAGTACATATGCCAGGCCTGTAGGTGGTGCTGTTCTCACTGAATCTGCCCAGAGCTAGAAATGGTCAAATTGAGCAAAATGAGGCATGGCTAAAATGCATGATCTGTTTGGTATTTTGAAAAAAAAAAAGTATAAATATGCCTTATATAGGTATGGTCCTACACTATATTATTCAAATATAGCATGATAGGTCCACTTTAAGTCTCTGAGAAGCAGAGATGGTCACAGCACACATTTTGTGTTGTCATAGTGGGACAGGCACAGGTGTTACTAATCACACTAACGATGGCTCTACTATTCTTATTTTCCAACATTCACAACACCAGGACTCTGAAATCAAAGCAGCTTAATTATTTACACCTGTGCTTTTCTACTGTGTGTTATGTCAAAATGTCCTCTGTGAAAAAAGCCTTTTGTCATCGCCGGAAAAGCGGTAGCTATCGCTCTTGTCCATTTCACATCATTAGATATTTTCCAAAGCAGGCATTTTAGGTTGTCATAGTAGAAAGAGCACAGCTGTAATTCATCACATGAAAAAGGACTGCATTTAGCTTAGCTTGATCCAGGGTGCTAGTACTGTGCATGCTAACTTAATGGAGCTGAGCCAATTTGAATGATTAGACCTGTGTTTGACAGGTTGTATTAATTAAATGTGTGTTGCTATCAGCTATCTTCTCCATACGCACAATGTTTCCGAAGATAGAAATAGTGACACAAAACATATGTTGTAATGGAAAAAAACAATGTTGTTAACATTTCTTTCAGGAGCATCTGACTTGTCAGAAGGCAAAGGAATCATTTGTAACAAGAAGTGTCTGGCAAACATATTCTGTAGAGGCGCACCATCTGTTATTAAATACGCTCTCTTAAAGCCTTCCTCACAGCACTTTTTTCTGACATGTGTCACAGTAGGGAAAGCACAGATGTTACTAATAATGAAATAAAAGCAGCTGAGTTTATTTAAGCCATCATTAATGTTGTCATTGACACCTCTGCTTTTCCCTAATGTGACATGTCAAAAAGTCTTCCGCGATATAGGCCAATATCTGTTAGCACTGCTGTCTCTTTCTGAAATTGGCCCAGGCTCTCTGAGGGAATAAAAAGTGGACAGTATTAATCCCCGCCACACCGGGTTTAGAAGACTTGTCTCCAGGGAAACAAATGCTAGGTCAGGAGGGATATTAAAAGCAGCTTAACACACAATGACTTTAAATCTGACCCTAGCTTTATGAATGGCAGATGATATGGACAGAGGAGGATGATGGCTTTAATGTACTAGTATTACAGTTATACAAAATCTTAGTTTCTCCTTACTTTTATGTCATTACTACGTTTTAGGTTTTCTTATGGTCCACTCCCCGGCCTAAATGATGTCTTCGCTGCCGACTGTGTGTGCAGCCGCGGGGAACAGGACTCTATTACCGGGGGATAACATTTTAGGAAAGTAAATGCACCAGGCCGTCAGATGCTCTGTGAGGAAACGCTGCCTCGAGCCTCCCTGAGCAGCAAGAAATTAAATCAAAATCAAAATGAAAGAAAACACTGCAGGGCTTTTTCTTGAAAGAGTGGCAGCACCACTTTTCTTTGCATTTTAATCAAAATTATGACAGAAATGTAGGAAAGTAGATATTAATGTTGGTATATAAGTCCTATAGATTGGCAGAAATTGTAAGTAGGTATTGCAAAAACTGATATATCTCTTTTCAGTCATCTGTTGTTGCAAAGGAAATCGTCATAAATATATAATAGCTGCGCTGAGTAGAGTGAAGCCTTTGATCAAGCTAGTCAGTAGCCTATATAATATAACTATGAATTAAACTCTTTTGACCCTCTCATGAACCAATGGGGGCCTCAGGACTACGGTTAAACCCACTGGGCATGCTGCCTGTAGTTATAGATGGGTTTCTTGCTCACCAGAGAATAACTTTTTAATGGATCTGTGGTCAGTGGTAGTGCATACCAAATGTAAAGTAATTGTCTCGAGTCATGGTGTAAAGGGTGAGCACTGCAGTGTTGGACACACTTGGTGGCATTGACAGGATTAAGGGGAGAAATACATCAAGTGTTAAGAAAGTCATTATAACATTGGAAGAGTTGCTGTCTTAGTTCAAGAGTGTCAGTTGAAAGATTTGAGCATATGAGACACTAAAGGTGACTATAGGAATAATTTTAACTTAACAAGATCTACCTGAAACTGCCTAAGTTGGTTCCTTTCATTTAAACAGTAATTTTTTTTATGGCAAGTTTTTTGAGACATGTTTAAATATGTATATGTGGTATTATGGGCACATTTGTATTGTGCTTTATCTAATGCTAAATTCTGGTGAATTTAGTAGGGAAAGCAAATATAAAGATTGTAAAATAAACACTATAATTGGTTTTCCTTTTAATTGCTGCAGGAAGACATGTTAAGGAAGCAAAATAGCCCAACATCTAAAAATAGACCAATGAATGAGGTAACAACACCTCTTTCTAACACTCATTGGTAGATACAAAGTGTATGATTGATGAAGCTGCAGCAGCATCTGTACCAGCCCTCACGTCTCCTGAGACAAGGTCACGCAATCTCCATGTCATCCAATAGAGGGTACTGTTTAGTTTCCGAGTCAGACCCAACACTCTCTGCCTGCCCTGAAATCAGAATTCACTCCAGTCCTCCTGCTGCCAGTGAATTCAGACTGTGACACATCCTCCTTAATACACCACATTGAATCGCCTGAAAAAGCATGCACGCACGCACGCACGCACGCACGCACGCACGCACACACACACACACACACACACACACACACACACACACACACACACACACGGTAGAGCACATGCAGCCGGTGAAAGAATGCCATCACCGTATTTATCTTTATTGTCCAAAATCCAGTTCAGAATTGGTTGCTCCCGCTCAGATGAACCTGCAAATCATTTTGATGTTCCCCTCTTTAAAAACCATAATCGCAGGGGTGGAAGGTACATGTACTGTTATAAGTATAATTTCAAGGTACTTTACATATCCTGCCACTTTATGCATCCGACTACATCTCAGAGAGACATTTTATATTTACTTTTTAAATCAAAATAAAACTCAACTAACCCTAACCCTAACCCTACTCGAGTCAGTTGTAGACAAACTAGCTAAACTTGGCTCCAAATTGACAAATTACAACATATAACAGTATATGTATTCGTAGTGATAAAAACTGAATATTATTATGTTCTTGGGGTTAGGGTTAGTGTTACGGTAAGGGTTAGATTCTTTGATACTTTAGGTACGTTTTGCTGATAATATTTCTGTTAGTTTACGTAAGTGACACGTCGGATCAACTCAGATCAGCATTTTTCTTTTTTAACATTTTTCAGAATGACATGCTGCTTGTAAATACTAGCGCATTACCTTACAGTGAGTTCCTACTCACGTCATATTTGTTGTGACGATAAACAAGGGGAGATATTCTCTGCATTGCATAATAGGTTCTTTAGGGTTAGCAGAAACAGATCCAGGATCAGGTGTTGGGGTTGGTGCCCAGGTAACATTATTTGGCAAAGAGGAGGGTCAAACGTTCTGAGACACTCTCGCTGTTCAGTGTGTTGGCAGACTGTGAGAAGGTCGGGTGGGGGAAAACATTTATCTTCAAGAAAAACCAAGCGCA